TGAGGCCAGAAGCACAGAGGAGACACTGGGGCTCCTGGCAACAGCCCTGCTTTGTTTTTCAGTGACAAGTGAAAAAGTGACAAAGTTCTTTCCTCTGTTTTACCAATGTTGCCATCAAGTGCTCAAACACCCCAGTAAGAACTGGCAAAGAACCACTAATTTAAGGTGAAACTGAGCTGCAAATGAACCACGTGACATTTCCATGTGTTTACTCTGACCCCAGGTGATTTCTACAACTGTAAATTAATCATCTTATTTCGTTTAATCAATCAACCCATTGTAATCAATTGAAATGTATATATGCAAAATGGCAAATGCTTCTCTCAGAAAGGGCCTTGAGGGAACGTGCATGGCAGCAGCCAGGCTCTGGAAAGCTTGTTCCATTTATATAAACGAATAAATACAAATGCTCAGGACTTCATGATCTGAATATTAATGCAGGTAATTAAACATGTTTATTCTGGCAGATGACTGCATGCCAGCCCCTGGGGAGGCTCCATGAACAGAACCTCTTCCCTGAGTCTCTTGCCTGTGCTGCATGAATATATTCATGGCCCTCGATTTATCCCCACAGAAAGGTGGGAAGGGGAGGCACAAAGGCCATCAGTTAGGAAAGACAATTATGTGCAAGACACAGATGAAATTTTCTTCTTCTTTTTGACTGGGTTTTTTTGATATGGAGGTGGTGGAACAAGCCCAGCACGGTGCTTTGAAATTGCAACTGAGCCTGATGGTTGGCTCCCGCCACCAGGCAGTTACATGGTATGGCTGTTAGTAGGTAGAACAGCTTCCAGCCCTGTGCAGGACACCTTGGGGAGCCTTTCCAAGGGAAATCTTGCCCAGTTGAAGTCAGCAGGACTGGGCTTGGAGCAGCTGCCCACAGGAGTCCTCCTGGGCTGTGCTGTGATGCTGCCAAGGCAGCCTCAGTCCTGCTCCCTGGGTGAAAGGAGCCACACTGACTTGGGCTGCTTTTGTTATAATCCTCTGTAACTGTGGAGAGTTAAAGAAAAGCTCTGTAGGTCAGGGACAAACCCGTGTTTACCTGTGTATGCTTTCTCCACATCCAGCCAGATTCCCAGCCCCTTGGTTCCCATTTACAACAGCACAAAACGTTTTACTTGCCATGGGACTGGGGCAGGGGAAACTGCCACCCCTGCAGTCTGGGTGCCAGAGTCACATGAGGATTAAGAAGGGGTCAGTGGTTTTTAGAGAGCTGTGTGGTGATCAGCAAAATAACGAGCTGCTCTCAGAGCCCAGTTTTCTGGGCAGGGCTCTGCCAGCAGGGCTTTGATTAGTATTGCCAGCACACACTCACACAGATGCACAGCTGGTTGCTTGGCTAAGGGTAGAGACAACTCAGTCTCCTTTCCCCCCCTCTCTTCAACTCTTAAGAAAAAACATAAACTGCAGGGCTTACCACACAAACCTCTCTTAAATCTACTGACCATATAAAAACTAAAATTAATTATTAATTTAAAAATTAATATTTCCGTGCTGGACTGTTCTCAAGGAGAGGGTACAGAACTCTGCAAGATACACTGAACAGTCTGAAGTTTGCACCCACCCTTTATAGGGAACAGCACTGAATTTTCTGCCTGGGACAAGGGAAAATAGGTTTCCTTCATCTGCTAATCTGGAGCAAAAGTCTGGGGAGGAAAAAGGGCATCCTAATATGTGATAGGATCAGGTGCATGAGCTATAAAAACTTAGTTCCCCAGAGCAGCATCAGGAAGGCAGCTTTAGAACAATCAGCCTCAGGAGCTCCCTGTGTGTCACAGTCTGCCAGTCCAAAACCAGGCTCTAGTTCTATGCCATGACAAATAATCACAGTCACCAAAATTCTTTAATATTTTCCCCCACCCACACTCTGTTCCAGTGACAGTCCATCAGTACTTGATTCATTGTGAGGCTCTGGGCACCAACTCTTCTTCCTCTAAACTTTTGATCTGTTTGTCTAACCCTGAACTGGGTTGAGGTGTTTCAGTACTGCTGGTTTTTCTGCAAGAGATTTCTTAAGCAGAAATAGAGCCTCAGTGAATCAAAAAGTCTTCCAAGCCAGGAATGAGAAACATGTGAGAGTGTAAGCAGAGAGGGAAAGGAAGCCTCCACATACCTCCTAGGAAAAGTTTCTGGAGAGGTTCTTATGAATAGGGGAAAATGTACAAAGGAATTAAAAGCTCGTGGGAAATGGCTGACCCAGCATCCCTCCAGGAGCATAAATAGCTGTGCTGATTCACTGCATTCCCTTTGGATCAGTCTGCCCTTTGTCAAATCTTGCCTGGTAAATGCTTGAAAAGGATCTTGGCAGCAGCTCTGCCAGCTTCAGGAGAGGCTCAAAATCCAATAAGACCAAAGCTTGCAATGACCAGACTTGCAGCTCATAAAGAAAGGACAAAAAAATTCTGTCAGCTGTTTCTCCTGCAACCTTTTGACTTCCAACAGCAACTTCAGTACTGGAATTGTTCCTCTGCAGCTGGGTTAGGGCATGTCACCTTGACATCCAAAGCCCATGTCAAGCCAGAGGACTGCCTTGAGTTGCACTCAGGCCTTTGACCTCCCCAAGGGCTGAGTGATTGAGCAGGGATTGAGCAGGGTTGGCAGTGGGCAAGGAGGAAGGGAGAGGCTTTATGTTCTGCTGAAAATCTGAACTTTACAGTAAATCACCTCCTGAAAGCGTCTTCTTTTTTTTTTTTTTTCAAATGAGATGTTACAGCAGCACTGGGTACATGAACAAGACAGAGCCTGCAGAACATGCCCTCACTCATACCTGTGAAAATAAGAACCTGTTGCCTACCAAATACAATCATTCCAGCATTCTCAACACTAAAGGCTCAGAGCCTGACAGGCTTGGAATGTCTTTGCTTCACAGCAGAACAAGGAACTGCTTTGCAAAAGTGCTCTTTGCACCAAAGAGACAAGCAAACAAGAATTGATGCTCTTCAAGTCCAAGTTGAGGCTTATAAGCAGCTGGGAGGCAGCTTTGCTGCTTGGCCTCAGCTCACACCCTCTGTCCTGTGAACCAGGCGAGTTCATGGGCATTTCCTACCAAGAGGGATTATTATAGATTATGCACAAGGTTTTTATTCATGACATCAGCAAAATAAAACAGACACCAGACCCAAGATGAAAACAATCCTACAAATCGCCAACAACGATTATAGGAACACACTGAATATTTCTTTGATTTACCATTAACTCCAGTAATGAGTCACACAAGAGTTCTAATTGCATCCATGAATAAGCTGCTCTCTTGAAAGTGTCCTCAGATCTGCAAGGAAACAACTCTGTGTATGGATCCAGAGGGAGGATTTTAAAGATAAAGTACTTCAGCAGAAAGCTGTACAAGTACTCATTGCTGCTCATCAGCAGTATGAGTAGGTCAGATACTGAAATATGGACAATTTCACAGGATTTCAAAGGAACACTATGTCCCATTTAAGGCACCCACAGAAAAGGCAGCAGATTAAAGCTGTTGGAAAAGATCCCTTTGTTGAACAGGTCCCTACCATCCCATGCCACAGTCCAGCCCTTGCCAGCCTCCTTTCACAGGCAAGGAGCAGTTGCTCTGGCAAACAGACACTGTCTAGTGTCCACCAGATTCCTCCTGCAACTGGACCACAGCTACTACTCCTCAAGTTCACCCTGATGCAGCCACCTGGAGAAAACCACCTGCTGACTTACAAAGCAGTTTTAAATACAAACGTGGTACTTACCTGCTGGCAAAGCCTCAGGCAAACTTAGAGCAGGCACCAACCTCTCCTTTGTTTCTTCCTTCCCTCCAGTGAACAGGATCACAAGCACTTGCTGCTGAGAGGGCAGGTTGTGTGCAGCCTCTTTAGCTGGTGTCTGGGTCATTAATGATGTGGGATCCTGCCCTCCTCACCTCTCAGGTAATGGCTGTAACAGGCACAGCAGCCACACCTGAAAACTGCATCCACCTCAGGCTTCCTGCCTTGGGAAATGTCACAAAGCTGCTCTGGCACAGAAGCAAACAGGAGGAAATGGAGCTTGGTCCTCACCTATAATATGGCATTTCAGTGCCATGGAGCTCCACGTGCTGGGGCTTCATTCCTGAAGCTGGAAGTGCAACCAGAGAAGTCCATATGGATCCCATATGGAGGCCACATCAGCTCCCCTTAAACTGCCTAATTGTCTGGAAGCAGATCCTTGCTTTAGCTGTGTGTTTGGTCAAGTCATGTCACCTTCATTCACATCTTACACGAGATGGAAATCACTACAGAAGTTCACTTACTTTGTAGGAATGATTTTCACAGACCTAGTCACCTCCAAGGAGGAAGGGCAGTGTCATGGGTGTCATTCCTATAGACTATCCAGCTGGAGTTAGTACCTTACCTGCTAGAAAGGACTTTTGCATCAAGATCTGGGGGACAATTTCACAATGGCAGAAGCAAAACAGCCTTGGCTTGGCCTTTTCCTCACATCTAACTGGCCAGTCCTTGCCCCCAGCTACCCTTTGAAATGTAGATTATAAAAACCAACCACCAGCCTGGACTCCAGAGATAAGAGGAGCATCATTCTGAAGGTGAGGCTGTGCTGGACAGCCTCAGGTATGGAATACTGTCACACAGAAGAAAACAGCAATGTATGTGAGGGGAGCAAACACACCACCAGCAGCAATGCCTGATCAGACCACCTGCACTTGGCAGCTGCAAGACACTTGATAACACATTTCCTTATCAGGGTGAGTAGGAATTACAATTCCCATTCCAGCCCTGAAACTCTCATTTACATTTCTGACCCCCCAGTAAGTTTCCACTTCCTTGCCCACTTCAGGAGGTTGGACTTCAGGTGTTTTTTCCACACCTGCCTCAGTGCAGAGACTGAGGGACTGGTTCACATAAGGAAAGCAAAACGACTAAGTGAAATACCTGCCAAAATAATTTTATTTCCTTTGAGTATTCCAATATTTACAAACATACTTTTGTAACTTTCCAAGACATCACCATCTGAGCACTAAACACTTTTCTGAACTTAGACACTTTTTTTTTTTTTTAAACAACCACTGCATGAGAACAGGTTTTCTTTCTGTTCTCAAAGTACAAAATTAGGTATGAAGTTGAATTGCTTGGCAACAGAAAGAAGCAACATATTTTCTTCCATAAAAAGTAATTTCTTTACAGCCTCATTTTGCACACAGGGACTATTAGAAGCAGATTCTTATTGGGCTTATTATGGGTCACTGGGATACTAAAGTGCATCTGTTCATTAACTCTTCACAGTGCCCCAGACACCTGTCAGAAATCAGATGGACAACACTGGTTTGGGCTCCTGGTTTTAAGGAGAGGTTTCTGTTGAGACTCAGTCACTGGCTTTCTGGGGGCTGTAAGTGTCAATGTTTCTGGTTAGGGTGAGTTGGCACTTTGATATACAACAAGAGAGCTGTTTGTGATGTTTTCAACACAACCAGTCAGTGGTCCAGACTGATGCATTAGTAATCACAAATGGTGTTCAGGGTTTGCATTTAAACAAAATGGAAACATGGGGGTTACTCCAGAGTGCAAGTACATTTTAATTCAAGCCCTGAGCCCAATATCCCTCTTTTAACTGTCTCCAAACTGGCCACAAGTATATAAAGAGAAACTGGCTGCAGTGGCAAATAACACATCACCATTTCTCCGAGGAGGTCATATTCTACATTTTCTAACTTTTAAAATTTGTTTAACATTTGTAATTTCAAAATAGTGCTTTATATTAATATAAATCTTTAAAGAACAGTGGCTAACTCTATCTGTAGATGGCAATGCTATATAAGCAATTTTATTTTTAATAAAAATCTATTAGTTTACTCTGAACAAGAACAGTAGACACACGTCGTCTCTGCGCGTCTCAAAAACTCTCAGTCCTTAAAATAATTTCAAACTGTCAGCACTGATCAGAATTTCTGAGCAATGGCCAAAAGAGCTGCTGTTAACCCTTAGAACACAAGGTAAGCATCAAACTTCTGGCACTCATAGCAAGCCACGCTGTCCAAGACCCACTCCCTCGTCACCATGGCAATGTGGCTCTGCTGCGGTATTGCTGGAAGACAAACACACAAACACACCACTTAGCAAGGAGTCAAAGCAAGTTTAAGGTGGGACCCACTACCAGTGTCTTTCAGATTAAGCTATTTGCTTTCTGTGTAACGTTTTAAAAGCCTTGGTAAAAAAAACCAAAGCCTGAAAGCGGTGCTGTGGCACTGCTGTTCCCTTTAACAGTGCAGGTAATACTGCTGCTCCAAGGAGAAGGGCTGGGTGGCAACTGGCCAAGCAGGAAGTAGTGAATGCCACGGAATAAACAGGAAAAGCAAAGAATGCAGTCCTTGTTATCTTTTACATTTCAGACCTCAGTGACAGAGCTCTGGTTCCTGTCGGCCCAGACATACAAGTATGTGACAAGCAATGAGTCTCATCAAGGCACAGGCAACATAAAATTACTGAAGCACTTTCAGACTGTTCTTCCACATTCCAGGATATTTTTGTTTTCTCATTTTTCCAGTCCCATGGAAACAGCTTTTTTTTTTTTTTTTTAACATCATCCTCCTGCTTCACTTTTTTGTTCAACTTCACTGTAAACTAACTAGCTCCCTTTCATTCTGGAACTCCCACTATCCCCTTTAAAAGTAAGTCAGTCTGGAACACCTGGACTTTCAAAGTCTCGTGGTTTCTCCAGAGCATTTTGGTTAAAAGAAAAAAGGCAAATTTATATCAGTTAAGGCTTTGTAGCAAGACATTGTTTCCAGACCAAGACAATCTTGTTCCATCTGAGACTTTCTCCTAGGTCTCACTGGTCCTCCAAGGACACCCTTCCCCACCTTTCAAAACCAATCTAATCAGAAAAGTTTCTGTAAAGCTGATGGTACACAGAGGACAACTGAACCAACAGCATTCACCTGCCACAGTAGGTTTTAAGATTCTATTGCTGATTCTCGAGACAATATACCTTGCGTTTCCAGATTTTTCTTTCAAGACTTACCTCCATCTCCAGATGCAGCAGGATTTTGATTCCTCTACAAACCTCTCTGATATTTAGCTATTAAAAGGACAGAGGTGACAAAAGCACTGAGTGTGTACCAGAAAACAGCCCATGACAGTGTCACTTTACCTCCATAATCTGTGTTTTCCTTCCAGGCATCTGGTTGCACAACCACAACAGCAGTAGAGTTCTATAAAAAAATTAAAAATGCTACTGTTATCTGTCTGTCCTTAAATGAGTCTCATATCTATCTGCAGAGAGCAATAATTGAGCTAACTCTGCTTCAGAGCATCACCTCAGAGAGGAATGTAAGAAGTAGTAGAGAGAAAAGGACATTAGCACCTAAGATTCTTCTGTGGTTTCTCTACAGGAATGCTTTGACTACATTCAGGCACTAAAGGCTTTTGGGGACAGAAAGGGAGGCCAAGTGCTGATCTGTGAACATGATGTGACTGTGGAAGGGTAATTTAACACTCAGGAACACTTACTGGGGTGTGTGTGAACAGATGAAGCTGCTTCACCACAGAGGCACCACAGAGCTCCACCATAGACTCCAGATGTTCTGAAGAAATCAGATGAGCAGTCTGTTACTTCAGTGTTTTAGATCAAGTTGGAATTGATACTATTCCCTGAGCCCTCGGGCATTTGTTCCAAGATACAAACTACCACAATCTGGAAGAGATGTTTAGCCTTGGTAGAATGTTAAGTCCTTTCACTTTCAAACCTGCTGAGGAGCATCAACTCCATCTTCCCTCACCCTCTAGTCAGGTCTACACAAAACAAAAAACTGAAAAAGCAAAGGAGCACATGCCCAAAACTTAAAGTCACAGTTTATTTCCCCTTATCATAAGAGACAAGAAATGCAAGACACGAAGTGAAAATTAAAAACCAGAAGTTAGAACTGTGATTAGTTCTCATTAAACTAAAGTAGTCAAAGTACTTAATTTCCACCAATTTGTTGAACTGACAGTGAAGAAGATAAACAAGTCTCTCAAGAGCCACAACTGACTATCACTTCAGCAGGTGAAAGCACTGTATCCTCTGTAGCAATTACTGTAAATGTCAAGAGATGTGAGGATATTTCACCCAGTCAAAAATAAACTTATTGGATAAATCAGAAAACATCTGATAAATAAGCCACAAAAATGGGGAGTTAGGTACAAATACTTTAAGTGGAAAAATCTTAGCTTAAGTTTTCAAAACATTTAATATAGTTTGTTAAAATTCAAAATAACAAGGTAAAGCTATGGTGCACAGGTTTTTCTTTGCATATAAGTTTCTGGTTTTGTTGTGTTTCAACTTTTAATACCTGCTCCTACAGATAGAAGGTTACACAGAGGACTGGCAACTGCTAGAAGAATGATACTTAGGAACCATTTACTAAGACAGAAGAAAATAATGCTCAAATACAAGTATTCAAGAGCATCTAAAAATTACCAGACAGCACGACACTAATGATTTTCCTTGCTAAGAATTCATTTAATTCCACTAAAAGGACTCACCTGTAGTCATATCAGTGAAAGGTCCATAGCAACAGATCTCAAAGTCTTTAAAGATCTGAAAAGAAAGGCACATATTACAGGGCACATATGGGGTTTTTAAAGGTCAATACTTAACATGCTGGTTCCACTGCACTTCCAGGGCTTGTTATCAAGTCATCACTATTTTCACAAAGTGCATCCCAAGGTCTTTGTAGCCTACAAACCAGGAGAATATCATCCAGGAGAATATCATCCCAGACCCTCAATCCCATGCTGTGTTATAAAAAGACAGCATTCACTCCAGGCCCAGTGAGTCACTTGGGCTCATCTGTTCTTCTGCAGAGCTCCCCCTTCATGTATGAGACTGCTTAATTTGTACAACTTTGTATACACAGAACAGCAGAGAAATGAGAAGAAGCTGCAGATACTCAGCTGGCACAGCCACAGATCTGGAACAGTCTCAGCAGGACAGAGTTTGCACCCCTGATATGCTCCTACCTTTTCAGTCTGAGCCTGTCTAGCCCTCTTAGGACCTTGGTGGTTTCGCCCATTGATTACATCTCCTCTGACTTCAAAGTCCTCCTGGAACACAACATACACAAGTAATCAGAAGTTAAGAGACTGAGAACACTTTCCTGTCAGTTCTGAAATCTGACAAGCTACAAATATGTGTGTGCAGAAAACTAATTAAAAGGCATTTAATGAGAAATGCTGGAGAGCAGCAATGAAACCCCTGCACCACCAGGCAATTTTAAAAGAAACAAATTATAGTCAAACTGTATAGTAGTCTAGCAAACTGGATGAAAAGAAGCAGCATGTTCCATGGTTATAATTAACTGATCAGTAAAGTCTCATTTGATAGAAATTATCAGTACAAAGTATTTCCTTAGGCAAAGGAAATCTTTTGCTCTATGCCATAATGTATCAATATCAGTAGGAATGCTTATAAAAAAGAATATATGTCTACAACCTGTTAACAAAACAAGAGGGACTTGATGTCCTCACTAACAATGAACATGAAGTGTTAGTGTGGCTTTTGCTCCTAACATTTGGTAAAACTAGAACCCTAGGTTTCAGACCAGAGTTCCATATATTAAATGTTTAGACAGTATCTGGGATTACTGCTAAATCCATCAGTGTAACAGCTTTACTTACCCATTTGACATTTCACCCAAGACAAAAGACCTACCTCATCCAGGATCCTTTCTTCTTTAAGAGACTGAATTACCCCTAAATAAAAAAAAATAAAAAATCAGAGCACAAGTCGTTTCATCCAGCAAAATTGTTCTTCCACTGCCAGTAGTCTGACTTCATTGCTATATTAAATTGAAAGTATTTGTACTAAAGGAATACTTCAGTACAAAGTATGTATGATGCTGAAAGAACTTTAAAAATTTATTTACCTTTTATAAATAATATTAATTTTACACTAATTGATGCCGTGCATCTCAAAGATTTAAATTAAGAGGGGAAAAAAAGACTTTTACCAGGGTGGGGAGCAATGTGGTTATTTGAACTCAGAAAATTAAAGAATTTTAATGTTGCTGTTTGTTTGGGGGTTTTTAATTTGAATTTATTTTTAAGTATTTAGAAGAAACACTGCAAAACATCAGACTCCAAGACATGAAGAGATCCTTTCCCCTTACTGTAAGAAGTGAAGATGATATTTGTGGTAGAAGGGCAAAGGCTGTTTACCTCTGAAACAAGTTATACCTACACTGATAACTAACCACCCATTTTCTTCCTGCAATGCCCAGGAAGTACTTCAGTGTCCGTTCACACACCAGCTCCTTGTCTGCAGAGAAAACAAGAGTAACAGCTCTAAGTTCTTCCATTAGCAAAAAAAAAACAAACCCCAGCTCAGGTTATTTGTGCTTAAAACCAAAAGTGCAGCAGCAAAATATCAAAACTGCAGAAAGATTCCAAAATTCTAGTGTCCTGATTTTACTAAATTGAAGGAAATTAGCAGAAAGTAATCCCATGTACCACTTGTGAACCATTTTTTAGTTATTTAATAGAGAGAAGAGGCAAGAAAAAATATGATTTCTTTGGGAACCACCTTCATTTCCTTTTGGTTGGTTATGAACTACTTCACACTAATGTGCTGTAAACACCTGAAAATTATGACTAAACAGCTAGAGAAACAAATATCAAATATTCCTGTGTGAATCACAAGGAAAAATGCACCCCCCACTCTGATTCTGTGAAACACAGTAAGAAAGATTCCCAAGCTTAAAATTTATGATGAACAATCAACACCTTCTCCTCAAACTTACTCAAATTTATTGCTGATCTGTCTGCTTGTTGGTTAGACTAAAGGTAAAATTCTATATGGTCTGTCAATGTAGGATTTGGCCACACAGATCCCAACAAACCTGTTTTCATTATGACATGGGTTGTTCCTTCAGTAATGTGATTAGATAAAGTGCTCTGAGTTTTTCTTGCAAACTTCTGGACCACCAACTGAAAAACAGTTAAAAAAATCAATAGGTAGCAAAACAGGTTTAAACCCAACAGCCCCAGTTTGCAGGACCATAACATAATAGCACAGTCCCTTTAAAGTAACAGTTTTATTTGTGTTGGCACACAGAATGTATGTTTCCTTAACAGTCAATAATTTTGGCACCATTCAGCAGATTAAAGTAAAGCAAAGCTGTTGGTATGTGGTTTATAAAAAAAAGCCAAATCCTGTTGGGAACTGAGTGCAGAAACAGGTTTATTAGCAACTCAGAACTACTACTTACAGAAATCCTCCCCAAGTGAACCAACCACTCAAACAGCCTCTTGCCCAGGCCCAAGGCTGTCTGGAAGTCCTCTGGCTTTGGAACAGTGTGTTTTTCCCCTGGACATTAGGAGTCATTTAAAAAGCTCAAATGTCACTAACCTTAATAGTGCCATTACAGGCAGCATCCTTCCCATTGTTAGGAGTGGAGAAGTTTGAGCTGAGTTGCTGTGTTACTCATCTGCAGCTCCCACAAGATTAGTTTCTATCATACTTAGAGATCTCTCTTCTGAGGACTACAGTGGTAATCAGGAATCATTAATTAGTGATGTCAAACTTCTGGAATTTACTTACATGTTCGCTGTGATTCAGACCTGATGCCACAATTGACATTTCTTTCCTCTTAGTCACAACTGGACTCGGAGCATTTTCTTTCCCAGCTGCATTGTGCAGGACAGGTCCAGGAAAACAGCCACTTTTCTTCAATCTGTGTCCTGGACCACAGCTTTTATTAGTGCTCTGAGCTACAACAGACCCATTTGTGGCGTCAGGAGTTTGAGGGTTAAGAAGCCTTGTAGAGGAGGAAGAGTTATTTGGATTCTTGGTCACATTTCCAGAGAGATTTGATGAGACAGATGCACTGTTTTGCCTGGTCCCAGGTTTCTGCTCCTCTGCATTTTCTGAAGGAAAAGAGAAATTACTCCTTGAGAAAATTTCATCTTTCCTGTAGTCATGGTAGAAGGCTGTTGCTCTCTCTACCTTTTAGGTTTAAGTTCTGCAGTTACTTCCTTTCCTTATGTGTTTATTCCTTCATCTTTGCCTCTATCATTACTTTTTCCTGATTTACAGTGAAGACACTAAAATACCTGTGAAACTTCCAGTAGTGTATTATCATAAACTATGAATTTAGAAGTGAGACAGAAAAACTCCTATTAGTGTCAAAATGTTGTCCCACCCCATGGGCAGCCATACAGCTGGGCTACCAAACAAGCAGTAACAGCTTTTTAAATTGGCCAGGAACATATAAATTAAGATCCTTGATTTACAAGAAGATGATGTATATCTTGCTGGTGTGTAAAAACATGAGAAGAGCAGGGAAAAAACCCACCAGAATTCAAAATGTGTTGGCTGCCTCTTCAATGTTACCTGTTTCAAGCTGACACTGCCTGTATTCTTGCACTGCCTCCTGCACAGGTTTTGTCTTTTCACAAGGAGGTTTGTTCTTTAGAACATTGTCACACTCAAGGCCTTTCTCCAGATCTGGTCTCTTTAACAAACAGGATTCAGAAGATGGGAGCAACAGTTCTGGAGACCTTGAGAGAGGAAAATTGATTTTAGTACCTTTTTCACTCTTCGTATCAGAGTCATGCATCAACAGCAAAGGTACTCTAATTGCTCAGAAGTATTTATTTCAAGATTTTAAATTTTTTTTAATAGAAATTTAGAAATAAAACCAAACAAAAAACCCCCAAACAGACCCAAACCACTGACCTTTCTTTTTCTTGTCTCGTTTGTTCCATTTCCAATGTTCTTTCCCTACTGGGATGTGGCAGTTCACTATGGATAGGCAAAAATTCACAGGCCTGGCTCCCTTGTTGCTTCAGTGCTGCTTCAAGCACAGCCATTTCTTGCTGAAGTTTTCTCAGACTATTTTGCATAGCATTCTTCTGCTGCAAAGGAGACACAGGAGTGCCAACATCAGCAAACTCAGGATTTAACAAGTGCTTGGAAATTAGGAGCAGCAAAATTGTTTGGAATCGCTTTTTTGCCACATGTTCAAAAGGTGACTGTGGTGCTTTTACTGTTACAAATAGTGCACACCCCCCACTGTCAGAAGCAAAACCACCCAACCAACCACACACTCATTTTGCCAGTCACATTATTTCAGTTTAGATCACTCAGAGTTTAATCAGTGAGAAAAAAAATACAGAACTTATGCACAGATTTAAGTAATTTTGTTCAAACTGCATTAGTAACCTTATTTAAAATTTAATAATGAACATCAAGTACTGAGCCTCTGCACTTTCCACGATTATTAAGAGCCCCAAAGACCATTTAAAGGACTAAAATATATTATATTCCTTTTCCTTATCTTCCCTCTCAAAAATTACATTAAATGTTTAAAAATATGCCATAGGCAGCTCCTCATAAGAACAGTTCAGGGCTTCAAAGGATCCTTTTAAAAACCCAAAACCCTCACCCTACATGATAAAGCAGTTTCCACAGAACTGAATATTCCATTTACAGCTCCAGCACTGGCACCATGTGGAACTTCTTTGTTACTGAACCCATAAAAACCCCCAACCAAACAGAAAACCACTGCCCCACCACAAGCCAAACCCCCCCACCAATCTGTACTACCACAAATCCATTCAACCCAGGCACATCCCAGAATCTGTATCCATGAAGCCACATCAGGAAGCAACGTCCTGCCAGCTGATCACATTTTACACTGATGCAGTAAAAAGAAGAATAACTCAGAAAGGATAAAATTAAGTTCACTCTTCTCTGACATACATAAAATTCACAGAGTTGATAATGCTGGAAAGAGATTTAGCACAAGACTTATCTTGAAGTCACACAGGACAAAAAAAAAAATCCTAAAGCAAAAAAAAAAAAATCAAACCAAAACAAAAAAAAAAAAAAAAAAACAATCAAAAAACCAATGCAAGCTACTTCTAGCACTTAATGTATAAACTCACTGACCTGTGTAGTAAGGATTTCACCCTGAGAGAATGGTCCACATGAATCTTCTACAATACTTGTTTCACTGTCATATCCAGATGCTTCGCCTTGAAGAAGGTGGAAAAAAAAAAATCTGAGTTAAAGAAAAAAAAAACCACCAAGATACAACTAACCAATGAACATTATATATAATATCTTACTACAAAGATCTTTTAGACAACTAACTATAATGCAAAAGTGACAAGCTTTGACAATATTGAAATTAGAAGCACAGATCTATTTTAAGTGAACAGTTCAAAGAATATCATGTGAAACACACAGCAAAGTAAACAGAACTCAGTGTGTCAACAGTGATAAGAGAGTCCTAAACGTTTATGAAAGCCTTAAAAATGTCATAATATTTGCCACAAAATTCTACAGCCAATTTCAACAAACATCTCACGTGGGTGAAAAGCTTAGGTGGGCTGTATGAAATTTTGCTCAAAAATGAATGTCCCATCAGACAGCCTCTAGTGTCCAGCCTATTCATTTGTGCTCTGAACAAAGAAGACTGGAAGAACATAGTTTTCAGGAAATAAGCCACTGAGGGCTTTTTGTTTGATTGTTTAGGGCTGATACATTCCTTTGGAGAGCAAGCACCTCATAAATACAGAACAAAGTTCCCGTGCAAACACCAAAAACCCCTGTGTGTAATGACATCACAAACACAGCTGCAAAGATGAAAATCTTGGTTTGTACCTGGGTTTGCTCCCATGTCTGGGTCTTCTTGGCATTCATCTTTGAAGCTGGTTTTGGTCCTCTTCAGCCTTCCATTACAACTCTGAGAAGTTTCTTTACTCTCATTCACGCCGGTCACTTGTTTGGATTCATCAATTTGCAGCAAAAGTTTCTTCAGCTCCTGGGCTCCGTTAACTGATTCTTCAGACAGGGACTGGGAAGAAAATAAGTTGACAGAGCATTCTGACTCCTGGCTTGGTGAAACACACACACTGCCTTGGGCAACTTCAGGCATTTTCTGCATAATATTGTCCCCATTACTTCCACTGTGAGGTGATGTGTTGGGACTAGCTGAAGACTCTATCACAGGTGTCACTTGTTTATCAGTCTGCAAGGGTGTGCTTACTGATTTGCCAAATACTAATGTCTGAAAACATGGCAGATCTTCCTCCTCACAGGATTCTTCATCCGAAGATGGCAGTTTCCGCGCTCGTCTTCGAGTCTTTTGAATTCTTTGAGATCTTGGCTTAGAACCAACATTTCTGTTGTGTGGTTCTTTTTCCAGGGCATTGTTGCTTCCTTTGGCAAACACTGCAGATTTCTCTCTCCTATCAGTTTCACAAAAGCTGGTGTTCTCTTCAAAATCAGCATCAGAGCCCAGTAAGCCATCGGGGGTTTCAGACAAACCTGTAAAACCACTGTTCCCTCTAAGAGCCTCTGCAACTAAACCCTCAGGCGTTGCTGTGCCAGCACTTTGGGTTGCTTGTTCTTCATTCCCCTTTATTCGTTTTCCTTCGCTTTTGCTACTTTTTTTCCTAATGAATTCAGCAGGACTTTGCTGACAACTTCCAGGACAAATCATGGAGCCAGATTGAAAATGTAGACTTGGTTCTTTGTCATCAACAACTTTGGTCTTTCCTTCCAGACTGCTTCCTGAAGTGAAGCCTATCTCATTGGTTTGTGTGGAATCATGCTCTTCTATGTTACTCTGACCACTTTGGCTTCTATTACTTCTGACTGGGTTCTGTCTCAACTCACTTTCTATCCCTGTGTCAGCTGACACAGGCTTTTCATTGCCCTGCTTGCCTTTTAGTGATGGGTTTTTGGCCTCAGTCCCAGCAGTCCCCATTCCCACTGGTGTCAGAGTCCCTTTCTTTGCAGCTTGAGAAACAGCATGTCTGTGTTCTCCTGTGCTGACAGCAAAGCAAGTCACATCATCAACACAGGCAGACTCACAGGCCTTAAGCTTCTCTTTCTCACAAACCCTTCTCAAGCTTTCAGCAGTTGCTCTCTCCTCTTGCAAGTTTTCTGCTTGTAAACGTTTGCTATGCTTATTTTCTACCTGAGCAGCACGTGATGGATTTAAAGTTTCAGAATCAGGATCTTCTGCTGCACAGCTCTGCCTGGGAGCCCGGAAAAGGCTGAAGGACAAGCGTTTTGAATGCCTAAATATATTTCGCAGGTACTGTGTGTCTAATTCACTGTCTTCTGCTTCCTTGGTCGATTCCGAAACAGTTTTAGCCAGGGGCAACTTCTCAGTTCTTAAGTGCCCTGGAACACTCTGTGAATCGTGCCCACATTCCTGTGGAAAGGCAGTAAGTGATTCAGTCACCTCTTCACTCTGAGGGGAAGCAGTTTGCACAGCAGGCACTGAAGGAGGCTGCAGGAGGAGAGGGCTACCTTGTATTTCACTGTCTTGAGAACCTGCATAAGGTGTAAAGGAACCACAGTTTGGAGGCTGACATGAAGATGCAGGATTGAAGAGACTTTTTCCAGTTTCTGCAGTGTCACATAAACTCTTTGGACTAACCTGCATTTCATTTGCTTCCAGATCACCTCCCTTCAGACTAGTGACTGCCTCAGAACTCAGCATATCCTGAGGCTCACACAGGTCTTTGCATTCAGCAGCCTGAGCTGCCACATTCTTTTGGTCTCCAGAGACAGATCCTCCATGGTCACTGCCATTCTTTCGTGGTCCCTTTGCTATTACTCCTTTTCCTGTTTCTTTTGTCATTTCTTTCATTTCTTCAGAGAGTAACTGAAGCCTCCTGCTGCGCCTGACTTGGTTTTGCTCAGAATCAGCTCTCCTGGGCTCTCCACTGCTTGGATAGCTATCAATCTGTGGCTCAGTTGGATCAGGGGAAACAGAGTTTCTGTCCACTGCTAACTGCAGAGCACACATGGCTCTAGTGGAACGCCTGCATCTTTTTGCTGCAGAACTTTTTTTAGTGCTTTTCTGATCACTGACACACATTTTTAGCTCCTCATCACAGTGCTTGCTAGTCACCTTTTCAGTAGCTTTTTTCCATGTGGCCCCTCCTCCTTCCTCATGTCCTGTTAGTGTATTATCCACTCTATTCTGAGAGAGGTGACTCTCATTAACAGCAACACTTCCATCACATCTTTTCTTTTCAGCATCTCCAAGGCATCTGCTAACACTTTCAGGGCCTCCATCTGCCTCTCCTGTATCTTTTTTCTCGATGAAATCCTCAGGTTGCAGGACACAGGCAGTCTTCCTTTTTCGTTTGGGTCTGTCTCTGCTGGAATTGTTCAAGCACTTATCAGCAGCCACATCTTTCTTTTTTGTAGTAGATAAAATGTCTCTGGAGGTAGAAGGGAGATTTGCTTTCCTCTCTCTTCTGTAGGTTTTTCCAAATATTTTGTCTTTGATGCTATCTGCTGTTTGCTTTGACCATCTCTTGTTTCTTTCAACCACTGCAATTTCCATGGAATCTACCACAGGGTCAGTATTTTCTGAAATACAGGATTCTTTATCTGATGAATGTGCATCTCCTTCACCTGAAACATCAGTTCCTCCAGCAGAATCATCCAGGGAAGAATTGGAAGACAGGATCTCGTTACTTTTTGAAAACCATTCATTGACTTTCTGAATGCTTCGCTTCAGTCTCTTCCTGGAGACTTGATCCAGGGTGGCAGAGGGAAGTGTCTTCTCTGGCTGAAGTAGCTTCTCCTGAGGCAGTTCTTTGTCATGGAAAGAGTCAGAGTCACTCTCAGGTTCACACACCTCCACAGCTTCCTCACTTTGTAAAACAGTATCCATTTCCTGGTTTTTATCCAGCCTGCTCCCTGAACCACCTTTTAAGTCAAACTCTTTGTTTTTACTGTTGTACTGAGTTGGCTCTTCATCCGTTTCTTCTGTGTTCTTGAAGAATGACGTGCCCCTGTTCACTGTGGGACTGGAATTACCTATTCTGTCACACTGCTCTGGAGGCAGGTCTGCAGCAAGAACATCTAAAGGGGAACTCTGGCATTCAGTCATATTCACTTGGTCAGGTTTGGCACAATCAGCAACGCTCTGAATGCTTTTCTTGCTCAAGCCTTCCTTCAAGAAATCACTTTCACCTGTTAGATTTATAAGAATTGTAAATTATTAAGCCCTATTTTACACACACAAACACAACAATGAGCTTGATGGCTACTTTGTTTTAAAAGAACTGCTCTTATTTCCCCCCCAAACCAGAATATTACACTGCACAAATCTCCCTCTAGAGAAAAGCAGAAAGATATTACATATGTTCTTCTAACTTCCTACATGAATTACCAGACAGTGCTCTCTGTTTGTACTATAAGGGACAATATGGCTTACAGAGAATAATTAAATTTTGCATTTTGATCAAGTTACTTTTTTCCTTTCTGTTCCTGTGCACAAAATATACACATTTTAAGTATCTAGTCAACCAGAACAGTCTTGTATTAGTGTCATGTAGGCATCAGCAGAACTACAACATACAAGACTGCAACTATATGTATATCTATCTATCTAGATATATGTAAAATAAAAATATTAACTTGTGGTGCTTCTTTCAAGCTTAAATCATCTTTGTCACCAAAATAACAGACACACCTATGACATTTGGTAGTGTTATTTCTTTGGCACACAGCTTGTCAGGCTGTGCACTGCAGGAATTTTCATTCCCCTTCTCAACACTCTCAAGTTCTTCTAGCTTTTCTTGACAAGGAATCTGAACTGCAGCTTTGTCTTTAAACCTGTTGGGAAGGGAAATCTTTTACTACAGAGAAAGCCACAACAGATAGATGATTATACTTGTTTTTACCTTTTTGCTCTCTGAAATAGTTCCTGGGGAAGTCAGGGTGCATAATTGATATTCACCACAACTAGATCCCTTCAGAGTTTCAGGCCACATCTTTAAGAGATCCCCTCTCACATTCCAGAATTTAACACACTAAAGCACAGTACCTACTTTTCTGTTGAAGGACTAATGTCTACGTAAGCAACAAAACATTTAGAAAAACCATTTAAAGCACATAATACCACAAAGGGTTAAAATTCAGCCACCCATTCTACCCCAATGCCCTCGAAGTTGAAAATCATTTGTCAGTTTAAGAATTCTACCAGTCCTCTGCCAAGGAACTAAAACACAGCAATGAGAACACTGAACTATTGTCTTTAGAAGATATGAATTCCTTAATCACCTTCACTTACCCAGTTTTGCTTGCCTGTTTAAAAAACTCTTCAGAGGATTCAGACCCTGAAAACAAATCAGCTGTTACTCTGGTTGGAATGATTCAGAGAAAGGTGACTTGCTAGAGTCAGTGTTTATCATCACATGCAGGCCTAGTTCTTTCTAGAGGTAGATGCTTTCAACTTTTATCAGATGAAATCAAGTTCAATCATAAAGCATTTCACCTAATTATAATGATTTCTGTGTAGAAATATCAACACGCCTTTAGCATAAAATTCTGTTTAAATACAGTAATTGGTAACAGGAGTTATTTAGCTAAAAGTTAATGTCTAATTTCTAAATTTATACATGACACAGCTGCTACTGCATTTTACATAAGATCAACTAGTGTGGATCCACAACAGATCTTACCCAACTCCACATAAACCCCTTTCTGAGAGTCACATTTCTGGGGGTTGTTTCTGAGGCGACACCTTTTGACCCTGGTATCTGTAAGCTGAGTATTCCCAGTAGTTTCCTGCTGACAGGAGAACAGAAATAAAGTTATTTATAACAGCAGGCTACTTAAAAATACCCTCACTTGTAATTATTTAAACCATAGCAGGAAGGGCTGATAGAAATACTCTGTCATATGAATTGGTGGCCTCTGTGCAAAAATACACAAGTAGTTTATTATATTGATATCAGTAATGGAATGTGTCAATAGAAACAATTATTGTGCATCTGACAGATCAAAACAATAACACTTTGATCTTACATTCTGTATTATCCAGCATTCTGTTCAACATCAAGCAGGTGAGAACCAAAACAGTCACACACACAGAACAATCACCCCAAGCTGAGTGATGCCTTAAGTATCCCAAGACATAATCTCACCACTAAAAAAAATAAACCCCCTACAAATAGTTAGAACAGCCTCATGAAACAAGCAGGACAGACAACTTTTCAAGCCTAGTTTCAGTAACAGACTGTAATATGGAAATATCATCTATAAGTTCAGGTTCTTTATGCAAATATCTTTTTCAAGTAGGTTAGGAAGACAAAAATATGTAAATGTCCCTGTCCAGAGTATTAATCAAGTCAAACAGCAACCTCAGAGCAACCCAAAATCTCCTTCTTCATTCATTTATGTCTTTGCATCAATATACATTCCACATAAACTTCTAAACAACCCAGGAAAATAAAATGGGGAAAAACAATTACCAAGGTGGTGTTTTCTTGTCCATTTTTAGCACTTTTTCTCCTGTTTCTGAAGCCCTTACTTTGAATGACAGAACTCTCTTTACACAGGAGCTCAGCAGCAGTGGCTTCTGTGGGTGTTTTGCGAATGTGGTGACTCTTTAAAACTGAAAAATGTTAAGGGGGGGGAAAAAATAATTGAGTATGACACAGCTTTATATATTAATGAAATAGCCTTGCACAGAACCCAAGCACCTAGTGCTGCAGTATAACTATCAAAGAAAGAAATCTCATTGAATTATTAGTCTGATTGTTTTTCTGAGTTTTCTTAAAATTTTAAGTAAAATCTTGATCTCGCCAACTAATTTTTTCAACCAATTTTGCTTATACAGATAAGAACAAGGATCTAATGCTACTGATTTTAGAATGGCTGAGCAAGTTGAGAAGAACTTGAAAACAAAGTATCTTTCACAGCACAATAAACAAAACCCCACCCCAAACAAAAGTCAATAACCACCATCTGCCCCCAACCAGAACGTCTTGTCTATCAAAATATAAACAGGCACATGTCTGACGTGCCAATACCCTTTACAAGGCACTTACTACTAAAAAGAATAAATTTGGATTCCCAAAGGATCTATCTGAATAAGACAGGTTAACATACATCTGCTAATTCGGGCTCTGAGATTGTTTAACAAGTTAAAGCTGCAAGGCTGGGCATCATCAAGAGCAGAACTTCACCTCACAATTACAGATTAAACATTTGATGCACGTTCAGCCACATTTCAGAAACTGAACATAAGATTGGGTGGAGGTCATCAAACACACAGTAAAACTGTTTAGGAGGTTTTTTAAAAATATTTTGGAAACTTAATGGAACTTATGCTTCTACACCCAAGGAAAAAAGCCTTTTGATAATTCTTCCCATGTTTAGTATTGCACATTAAATGGGATACCTTTTAGGAATTATGACATAAATGTCAAAACCTTATTTAAAAAAAAAGTTGGGGGCACACATTCACACCACTTACACTTCACTCCAGTGTCAAGCTCAAAAGCATGGATAGTTTCCAACAGTCCTTCAATTAGTTGCTTAAATCTGGAATTTTCTTTCAGGCTCCTGAAACAATATCAGAACTTGAGTTGTTTTAAGACAAATGACTGTAAATTCTTCTCTTAGAATTTAGACTGAACAAAACAAGGGGTAAAACTCTAAAGTGTAAGATGAGACAATGAGAACTTGTTGCCAAGAAATAACACAGTTTCCCCAAACAACCACTGCCATGTGAATTAAAACTATCACAAAAGTGAACATTTCATATTTTTCCCCATGTAGGTTCAGTAGAGTTGTAATGACTGAACACTAATACAGCACAAACATTTGTGAAGAGAGGGGTGTTCCCCTGCAATCACTTGGAAAAAGCTTACACTGAGGTAAGGTACTACAGCTGCTCCTTTAGACATAGACAGTTTATTTAATAACCACCTTTTCTTCTTTATTTTAGTCTTATGCTGAGACATTTTAAGACAACTGTTAGCCTTTCCTCACAGCCCAGACCTCTCATTCTCAAGTCCCCTTACAAAGACAGGTTTCCCACCTCTTGGTAACTTCAGTCTTACACAGAGGACACTGTATCACACCTCTTTTCTTTTTGCTGAGAAGTTTGAACATGCAGAACCTAGGAAAAAATAAAAGTCTTGATAGTAACAAAAGGAGATTATTTTTCTTAAAACTGAACGTGCACATTCGTGACTTAGTAGAAATCCTTTGTTATCAAGTTTTATTTTTGTTCTGATTTTACAGTGGGTTCATTGATCCCCTTTGACACACCTGGGAAGCTGCAGTTCTCTCTCCTGCTGAACTGATTTTTCCTTTAAAGTAGCTACACAAGAAGTTCCCAAAACACAGTATAAATAGAGGATTTGCACTAAAGAAGCATACATGGAAATTAAAAACAGATTGACTGAGTATTGCACTCTTCAAACCTACCTGCAGAATATGTGATCACATTTTGTTGAAACTGGCTCTTGTACCACATCCAAGCTACAAAAAGAAAAACGAACACAGAATGAAAAAAGAAGTTACAGACACTGCAGGGATCCATCCTCTAAGTAGAACCTTTGCTATTTCAGCATTTGTTTGCTGACCTACAGACCTCACTCACTTTTCAGAGACAAAGGGCAAAGATCCACACTGCTTTACAAACAATACTCTAATCCAATCAGACAGTGTTTTTCCCTCTCTGGATAGAGGACTGACATATTTAGTTCGTAAGAGAAAAACAAAATTTACTAGAACATAAAAGCAAGATATACATTCTGTCTTAGACTTTGTCACTTCAGCCTTACAAAACATCAATATGTAGTCTTCAGCAAGAATCCCTTTGATTTCTCATAAGTCGTTGAACTGACAAACCATTTGCAAAGAAAGGGGAGAACAAAATAAAACCCAAAACCACTCATTAACCACACTGATATCACTGCCGGGCATACCATATTGGGCACTCCAAGTTCTTCTGCATAGCTGAAAGCACATTTTGCACGTGGCCAACAGTAACCACTGAGAAGTCCATCCTTCACGTCCAAAAATAGTCTAGAGAAAAATAAATAAATAACAATCAGCTTTGTTTCTGCTCTGCTGCATCCCGTGACCGTCTCCTCCCACACGGCTCTCCCCAACTTGTGGAATGGTATCAAATACCTCGCTACTACTTCTTGGGTAAGAGTTTACGAGTTCTTACTCTGAATGCTGACAGTTAAAGCCTCTCAAGTGTCCTGTAGCCAAAGGAGAGACCGGAAGGGGTTTACTGCGGCTTTCAGCAGAAACTCTGGGCGCAGAGCCCAAAACAGCGGAAAGTACCTGAAAACAAAAGGAAACCATAAGAGCTTACCGCGGCGGCAGCTCGCAGACCGGAGGGGCCTTTGCAATAAGGCCTGTCCGCAGGCCGATGCGAAGCGTCCCAGCACCCAGCTCCCTGCACTCACTCCGCCCGCCCGCCCGAGGAGCACGAATGGTCGCTTTCACGGCCGCCGGGGCACGGGCGGGGCCGGTGCAGTTGTGCCAGCCCGGCGGTGACGGTGACGGTGACAGCGGCGGTGGCGGTGGCGGTCCCGGTCCTGTCCCTCAGCGCCGCCCCGAGCGCCGCATTTCGCGCCCTTTCCACCGCTCCAGGCGCAGCCAATCAGGCCCGGCGGGGCGGGCACTCGGCTCCGCAGCGCCCTCTTATAGGCTCCTTCCGCCGCGGGGGGCGGGGCCGGGCAGGGCCGGGCGCGTCTGATTGGGTCTGGCGCTTCCGCCTTACCCCCGCCGTCGGATTTCAGCGGCGCGCGCAGCNGGGCGGGGCCGGGCAGGGCCGGGCGCGTCTGATTGGGTCTGGCGCTTCCGCCTTACCCCCGCCGTCGGATTTCAGCGGCGCGCGCAGCAGGCGCGGCGGCGCAGGCGCGGATGAGTGTTGTTGCTGCGTGCGCGTGCCCGGCTCTGTTTATTGTTGTGGTTCCACGGCGCCCGGCCCCGCCCCTCCGGCCAACCAGGTTGGCGAGCAGGATGAGTGACAGGCGGGGCAGCCAATAGCGCTGCGCGGAGGGAGTGGGGCCGACCACCCTTCGGGCCGCCATGTTGGGCTGGTCGGGCCGGCGGCCGGCGCTGCCCCTGGGCCCGCGGGAGCGCGCGATGGAGCCCCCGGTGACCCTCCGCGTCTCCTGCCGCGGCGACACCCGCAGCTTCATCGTGTCGGACCCGGCGCACACGACGTGGGCCGATGTGGAGGCCATGGTGAGCGCGGCCCGGCCGCGGGAGGTGGGGAAGGGGGGGTTGCAGCCGCGGCGAGCCGCCTCGGTGAGATGCCGACCGTGCCAGCGGCTCTCCGAGGGCCCGGCATCTTCTCCCGCGCCTTCCAAAGCCCTGTCCCCCGTTTCCCAGGCTCTCAGCACTGGTGGTTCGTACTGCTGCAATCTCGGGTTTTCTTTTAGCCTTTAACTCCCGCTGTGTGCTTAGAGTGACCTGAAAAACCTGTTTCGGAAAAAGATTCTTATGGGTCCTTTTTTTTCCTGTGAGAGCAGGTGGCTTTAGTCGTGTTCTTTGCCTATTTCCACAGGTACGGACGGTTGGTTTTGCCCTTGTACCCCTCTGTAAAGTACACTCTGTTCCTCTTATCTGCCATTCTTTTACTCACTGAAGTAGTTATGGTGAAGTAACGCGTGTCTGTTGCTTTTCTGAGGATGCGTCTGTGCTTTCTGGGGTACCGAATCACTGATACGTTTTTGGCCCCTTGCCTCCAGGAGCTCTGTGTGTGCCAGTTTGGACAGAACAGTGTCTGACTGGGCCATGTGTGGGTAGGCAGTTGCTTATGAAGGTCTGTATATGCTCTTGGTATAGTCAAAAGTTTTTGTTTGGATGCTTGCTTTTAGGGCTATTTAGTGAAAATTCCTGGCTGAGGCTAAAATTGTGTTATAAGCACTCCCTTGGCTGTTATGAAGCTAATGTGATTTTTTTTTTAATTATTATTCCTTCTGTAGCAACTGTTCTGGTTTTTTAGCTTACTTTTAAAGTTGTACCTTAAGAGGTCTTGTCACTATTTTATTTTCTCTTCTAGCTATCATTTTCCAGAGTGCAGGAGGCTCTTGCTTTGTGAATTACTCAAGCTCAAAGCTTGAAATGTAGCATCTTCACTTGTTGTGTTTCAGTCCTCTGGAAGAGGCACTAGTTCAGTCTTAAAATACTTAGTGGCAAGTAGACCCTGCAGGAATGTCTGAGCTAGTCAGAATCCTGCTTGCATCAAAGCTGGAAGCAGATTAGTGTGTAAGCACCGTGTTGCCCTTAATCTTAGGTAGTCTGAGAGCGAGGGTGTGTTTGTTCAAGGTGTGGTGTTCTATTACAGTAATGCTTCCCTAACCAGGGTAATAACATGGATTCTTTCTGTTGTGTTTTACTGGGAATTACTGTTTGAAGAGAGTATCAGTTAAACTCTGTCTTTCCTACGTTTTAATATTTTATTGAATGTGTTTCTAAGGGATAACCCGATCTCTCATTCTAGTTTGAGCTTTAGGGGAACAATCTGTGGTACTACACAGTGTAGGTACAGACCACAGTTTCTTCTTGATAAGCCGAGTCTGTTCTCTCACTGCAGTCCCAAAATTTGGGATATGCTGCTGGAAGAGCCTGCCTGTAGCATGTCCACTGCAGAATGTGTATGGCTGTGTCCCTGTGCTCCAGTGGTGCTGTGTGAGTCCCAACAGCCTCTGTCAACTGAGGTGTTCTGTTAGGTCTGGGCTGGCAGAACGTGTCAAGTCTTTCAGAAAGGATACAGCTTGTGTAGGTACCTGCTACAAACTGTCCAGGAGCCTTGGAGACTTGCTGAGTGTATGGAAACATCTGCCTTCCTTTCTGGTTCATTTGGTGCTGTTGGCTCTGCCCTGTTAATGTAAAATGCAAAATAGCTGCTCAACTTTGTCCTCTAAATTCTGATAGGCTGAAAAAAGGCTGATCACCTGTGTGAGCTGCATTCCAGGTGCTTTTCAATGTAAAAGGTAGTGTTTGGGGACTGCTGGCCTTAGCCTTCACATTTGGCAGTGTTTACTATGACTGAGTTTATTAACCCTGAGCTTGTCCTCTCAGAATGGGAAGGTTATTATTATTTGTTTTGGAGTAAACATTAACTAGGGAAGGTGCAACATGAAAGAAATGAGTTTATTCTTTTCATTAGGGAAAGTTAGTAACAGTTGGAGGAAAGGCACCGAGGAGAGTGATTCAACTTCAGAGGAATGGATTCTGTAAAACAGTCTTTGCTTCAGTTGGGAAACAGAAGGGAGGGGTGGGAGGGTTATAATATTACTCCTAATTAATAATCATGTTTAACTGAGGACACCTGTAGTCCTGTCTCATTGTGGTTTTGTGTTCATTTTTTTTCATTACAGGTTAAAGTTTCATTCGACCTGGACAACATTCAGATCAAATACATTGATGAGGACAATGATGAGGTAAAATACCTACCACCCTACCTTCCCAATAAGTCAACCAGAAAATGACTGCTGGGAACCTTTCTGCCTCACAGTGATTTGTAGTGGGTCCTTCAGGAGCATCTGTTATGTAGATCAGGGGATGGGGGTGGTTTGTCCCTTTAATAAGAAAATAGCTGTTAGTCTGGTGGTTTTACTCTTAATGCAGCATACATATTTTAAAATAATACTTTTCTTAGAAGCTGCTGCCTTTCTTTTTCCCACCCCACAGTGGTTCTGTGTGCTCTGAGGGAGGGATGTTTCTGTTGAGGAACTTGGTTTTTCTTTTTGTGAGAATAAGTTAGTTGGAACTATTGGTGTTTGCAGCCATGGTAAAGCCCTGGCTCTTCAATCTACACTCCTTCCTCTGGAAAATGTAGGTCCCCTGTCATTAGCATATGTTTGCTTCAGTGATCTGGTGTACTCAAATCCTCTGCTTGCTTTATGCAATTGCTGTAATCTCCAAGCAGATTACTGCCTCAGAAAACAAATTGGTTACTTTTAGTTGTCCTTGTTGAGTAACTTCCTGCTTGGCACAGCCTCACCCTCTCGTGTTCTTTCTGTTTGTCTAGAGGTTCAGAGGAAAATGTAACTCTTAGACACAATGGACCTTTTGCAAACCCCATGTTCCACTGCTTAGGTTATAGCTCTACTGAATTGCAGAGATGGAGTCCCTGTAGTTATTTTTTTTTCCCCCTAAGGGGAAATGTCAAGATAGTCCCAGCAACCTTTCAGGGAAAGATTCTTCCCTTATTTTCTAGCTTGTATTTTATATAAATATATAGATGCATCTGTGAAAAGTTCTCTTTGAAATACTGGTCAAACTGACTAAACCCTGTTCAGAATCAGGCAATACTGTAGGCATTAAATAGCTTCTTGTATTAAATAGCTTCTGTTCTGTGAGCAGAATGGATAAATGAGTATCTGTATTTGGAGTGGTGTTTTGGAAACTCCAAATAAAAGTACTTTTATTCTGGAAGTGTGGTAATTGTAAGAGAATTGCAAAAATATGTCTGTGGCTCTCACTCACTGTTATTTTTCTTTGCAGGTCTCTGTGAATAGCAAAGGTGAGCTGCTGCTTTACTGAAGTGAAATCAAGAAGCAGACCCCAACCGTTGTTTGTGGTTTTTGGAGAAGCACTTGAGAATGCTTGCTTTTTGATTTTTGTATTTTATATATCGTTGGGCATCAAATTCTTCCCAAAGGAAGGAGTTTTTGGTCTGTAGGAACAAATTGGGTATGGCTAAATCAATGGAATGATGCAGCTCTTAGCTGTGAGAAGGTGTGCTTGTTGCTGTATATACAATTTTTTTCTTTCAGTAGCACTACTTTAAAAGAATTTACAGAAGGTAATGGAGACTTCTTGTGGTGTAAGACTCCCTAAAGACTGTGTGCTAAATTTGTATCTGTTTGAGACAGGGAAAATTCACATTTTTCTCTTTTTCTTTAGAGGAATATGAAGAAGCTCTGAAGGTAAATGCTCTCTTTGACTTTTTCAATATATTCACTGTTCTCCGATGAAAATTGATGTAGCTGAGAAAATACCAGAATTACCTGGCCCATGGAAATCCGAATAGCTTGAATATCTTACTGATTTTTTTTTTCCATCCTGGCTAATCTTGCTTTGTGTAAATTAGTTGCACAGGCAGTTGTGATTCAGGACCCTGAACAGCAATTGGTTGGTTAAGTGACTGACTTCCTCAAACAGTAATCCCATATTTGGAGATGCTGGGCTCTTGTGGATCCCTTCAAGAATCTTGTCACACAGACTCTACTGCCAGAGTAAAACATTGAAAATTCTGTTAGTGTCAATGCTTAGTTACTTTAGGAGCAGTTAATTTTATGTAGACAAAATAAAATTGCATTCCTTTACATCTCAGTTTTACCTTAGTAATGTTTCCGGAACTTTTTCCTCGTGGTCTGAATTTAAAATCTGATCATTTGAAAATAATCATAAATTTCTGGGCAGAATCTGTTATTTACTGGCACATGTGAACACTTTATTTTAGGTTGAAAAATTCCTGTAGGATATCTGCATTATTATCCTTTGGCATGTAATAAGCCTTTTAATAAGCATATTGGTAACCTTTAAGAAGTAGAATATCAGTTGACTCTACCTTGGCATCTCTGTTTTCTTTTT